TAAAGGAAAATTAAAACCACCCTTAATCCCACTACCCAGAAATAACCATTATTATATTTCTGTGTTTTTCTCTTCAGTTTTTTCTCAATGTACACATAGCTGTAAAATTATTTTAAGTATGAGAAAAATCTGTATATATACTGTATAAGTGTCAATATTGTGTCAATATTCAAATATATAAATACTAAAGTTAACTTACCTCTTTCTTTAAGGTTTCGAAATAGCTTTGATGATCCTTTCCAAACTGGTGGTGTTTCTGAGAGCATTTGATTTAATTCCTATGACATAAGGTATCATAATGCTGATTAATAGGTAAATTAATTCTAAACAAGATAAAAAATATCTAAATGCCGATGTAAAAAGAATTCTTCACTTAGAAGATCTGAGACATGGCTATATTTATCCTATTCTCTACCCATAGTTCATTCAACCACAAAAGCCAACATTTGCCCAGAGTTTAAATATAAAATAAATGATAAAGATGCTGCAATTGGTAGCTCAATTAGAGATACCAAAAATTGCAAATAAATTTAATAATTAGATTAATGTATATATGGTAATCAAATTAAGATAAAACAGTGAGTAAATTGTGGAGCCAGTTAGAAAAGTACATTTTCATGGAGCCATTGAAAAAGGTGGACTTCCTAATTAAGGTCAGAGGTGATCCCCTGGCTTCACATACTGTTCTCTGTAGGCCTCTTGTATTTAGGGGGCTTTGTGGTAGAAGTAAATGGACAAAGGGTTATATCAGGAAGGAATGAAGAATATTTTAATAGTGACTCAAAGAATTATGACATTAGATGAAGTTAGGGGACAAGGACATTAAGTTATTGTGTACACTTTCAATTTTTTTCTAATTTTACCTTAGTCATTAAAGAACACAGACTTCAACTGTTGTTGTTTTTTGTTTTTTTTTTTTTGTTTTTTTTTAAATCAAACTATCACAGCTGGTGGGGGGAAAACTATTTTGGAAAATTTAAACATTTGAATCACTCTTTATATACTAAAACAATTTTGAATGTATTTATATACTGTGTTGAAAACAACTAAGTGAAAATATAGTTTGGTTAAATGTGAAGAAAAATTATTAAAGGATTTGTAGAGATAACTTGAAATAATTTGAAATTTAAAAATTAGTCTGCTAAATAACACACTGAAGAAAACACTAGAAACCACTTCTATTTCTAGGTCTGATTCTTGCTCCTCAAAGTCCAATAGCCCAAGCATTGGGGGGGGGGGGGGGGGGGGGTTGTTAGAGATGCAGACTCTCAGTTCCCTCTCAGGCCTGCTGAACGAGAATCTGTGTTTTCAACACGATGCCCAGGAGACTTTTATGCATATTTGAGTTTACAAGCACTTTAGACAAACCTTTCCTGATGTAATTTTACCTGAAAATGTTCTGTGACATTTAGAAATCATCCTTTTCATTACAAAGTGGAGTTAGCATGCAAATAAGAAATCCCTGGATGCCAAAGACAGGAGAGGTATTTTTAGGGGCTTTTGGGACTCTCTGAAGTCCGCCTGTGAATCCTGGCTTTCCTTTCCTTCATGGTGTGGTCTCTGCACTGCAGATAATGGGTAGCAATGGCAGAGAGGTAAAAATTCAGGTATGAATAATGATGAAAAGCTGGGGTATTTACTGTTTACACAACACTAAAATATTTTTGTTAGAGCAAGAGATTTAAAAACATTTTAAACGCATTTTCTACACTTAATTTTTATCATCTCTACTATATATTAACTTCTCTTTCATTTTAACTGTTTCCATGTATTTGGCCAGCGTTTAAGACCACAAAAGCATAGCTACCTTTCACTGAATGCCATCAAATGGGGCTATTACAATACCTCATTTAATTTTAAAAGACAATCCTCATTTTGTATATTTTACTGAGTCTTAAAAAACACAAGTAACTCACCCGAGGTCACACAACTAGTAAATGACCGGCAGATCCTGACTGACTTTAAGCAGTTTATTTTAGTAATAATTTAATTTTTTCTGATATAGATCATCCAACGGACACATTCATTTCTTTGTCTTCTGTTAAATTTAAACACTGTTAAATTTTATTAAAATCTATTTTCCGTTCAGGCTGGGAATCTCTCTCCCCTTTCTGGTACCTATCTTAGTCTCTTATATGTAGTAGTGTTGTATAATAAAGAAGTTGATGCCTTTGTCCCAGATTCCTGGGAGGGAGACTCTATATCCATGCGTCACACCTGAGTTTAGGCTAAGATGCTGATCACCAGAAAGAACAACCATGTGATTAGAGCGTTGGGGCTTTGAGCTAGCCAACCTCTGAGGGGAAGGGAGAGGGACTGGAGACAGTTTAATCATGTGGCCAATGATCCAATCAATCATACTTATACAATGAAACTCCCAAGCTCAGTGTAGCTTTCAGTTTGATGAATACACTGATGTGACATGAGGGTGACGACATACCTGAGACTATGGGGAGAGAGCACAGAAGTTCTGGGTTTGAGGCCCTCCCATACCTTGCCCTATGTGATCATCATTTGGCTGGTCCTTACTTGTGTCCCTTATAATAATTATAAACTGTAATTTTAAGTGTAGAAGATTCCACAGTCCAAATGAGGCAGACTAGCAAATTACTGAAATTGAGGTGAGTTGTGGGAACTGCATGGATTTGTAGCCAATTGGTCAGAAGTATGGGTGGCCTGGGAACCTTGAACTGACAGCTGGCATCTGAAATGAAGGCAGTCATTGGGGGCTGGGTCCTTAAACCTGTCGAGTCTGACAATAACTCCGGCAGTTAGTGTCAGAATTATATTGCCGCATTGCAAATAGGTACAAAATAAATACTTGATGGATTGAACTCAGTTACCTAAAATTATAGTTGCCTTTTAAAGGATTCATATAATTTTCTTAAATGAGTATAATTTTGTCTTATTATACAGTTAATATACATACATTACATGAAAATTAGTAAAGGCAAAAGTAAATGAATGGGACTATATCAAACTAAAAAGCTTCTGTAGAGCAAAAGAAAGTGACAACAAAGCAAAAAGCCAACCATCCAAATAGGAGATGATATCTGCAAACAACAGCCATGACAAGGGTTTAATACCTAAAATATATAAACAACTCAACAAAATAAAAACAAACAATCCAATTTAAAAATGGGCAGAGGACCTGAACAAAGACTTCTCCTAAGAAGACATATAAATGGCCAACAGATAAATGAAAATATGCTCAACTTCACCAGCTATTAGGAAAATGCAAATCAAAACTACAATGGAATACCACCTCACACCTGTTAGAATGGCTATTATCAACAAGACAAGTAATAGCAAGTGTTGAAAGGTTGTGGAGAAAAGGAACCCTCATTCACTGGTGGTGGGAATGTAAACTGGTATAGCCACTATGGAAAACAGTATGGAGGTTCCTCAAAAAATTAAGAACAGAGTTATTACCATATGACCCAGCAATCCCTCTTCTGAGTATCTACCCTAAAATTTTTGAAAACTTTTATTTGTAAAGATATATGCACCCCCATGCTCATTGCAGCATTATTCATGGTGGCCAAGACATGGAAACAACCCAAGTGTCCTTCAATAGAGGATTGGATAAAGAAGATGTGGTACATACACATAATGGAATACAACTCAGCCATAAGAAAAGATGAAATACTGCCATTTGCAACAACATGCATAGATCTTGAGAAAATTATGCTAAGCAAAGTCAGTCAGTCAGAAAAAGCTAAGAACCATATGATTTCACTCATATGTGGGATATAAAACTTAAACTCATAGACACAGACAACAGTATGATGGTTACCAGAGGGAAGGGGGTATAGGGAGTAGTAAAGGGTAAAGGGGGCAAGTATATGGTGACGAAAGTTGATCTGACTTTGGGTGGTGGGCACACAATGCAATATACAGATCATGTATCATAGAAACGTACACGTGAAACCTATATAAACTTACTAACTAATCTCACCCCAATATATTATACACACACACACACACATCTGTACCTCTGTTAGGTACACTAAGTATCTAATAGTTTTTCTTGCTATGGTAAAATGTATCTTATTTGATAATACAGTTTCAAATTACTATTGCTGGTGCAGAAATATTTTATTCACTTTGGTTCAAGAATGTTACATGCAGCAGCAACCTTATTAAACTTGTATTAAATATGAATAAATTTGAAATCTATGTATTTTTATATGTTTCTCTCAATAATATTGTTTGCTACAGTTCCAATCCTTAGAGCCTTTTTTTTTGGTCATACTATAAGTTATAGGCTAAGTTGTGTCTACCTCAGATTCACATCTCAAGTCATAACTGTCAGCACTTCAGAATATGACCGTGTTTGGAGACGAACCTTTAAAGAGTAAACATGATTAAATGAGGTCATTACGGCGGGCTCTAATGCAATGTGACTGGTCTCCTAATAAGCAGGGATTAGCACAGGCACACAAGGAGGAAAGATGTGAAGACGGCAGAGGGAGATGGCCATCTACAAGCCAAGGAGAGAGGCCTCAAGAGAAAGCAAGCCTGCCAACATCTTGATCTTAAACTTCCAACCTCCTGAACTATGAGAAAATAAATTTCTGTTGTTTAAGCCACCCAGACTGTGGTATTTGTTATGGCAGCCCTAGCAAAGTAATGCACTGCATTAGCTTACACCTGTAGCCAGTAAGTAGTAGTTGTGATAGGACACATATTTGCATTATATCTAACTTTACAGAAAATGTCTCTAAAATTTCATAGTAGCCTCTCTGCATCCCTCACTTATAATATTCCTTCTGTCTCTCCCAGAGATAAATATTGTCTTTAATTTTATGTTTATCATTCCTCAAGTAGGTATTTTCCCACCTATGAATGTATCCTTTACAGTATGGTTTCATTTCCCCAGTTTTGAAATTTATATAAATGGAATTATACTTTATGTATTTTTGAATTGCTTACTTTGTCATGGTTTCTGAGATTCAGCTAGTAAAAGCATTGCTATAGTTCATTTGTTTTCACTGTTAATATAGTATTCACTGTATGACTATATCAAAACTCATTTGTCAATTCTACTGTTGATATTGTATCACAGTCTTTTTGGCCAACATGAACAATCTATGGCCATTCCTATCAATCTGTCCTGCATATATGAAAGTTTTTCTGGATAAAGACACTGGTGTGAAATTACTGGATCATAAGGCATATTCAAGTGTAAGCTTACTAGGTATATATGCATGCACAGTTGTAGAACTTAAGCCCAGGAGTAGAACTGCTAGGTATAGAATATGTGGATCTTTAGTTTTAGTAGATACTGCCAAACTGTTTTTCCATAGTGGGTATACCAACTTACATTCACACATGAGAGTTACCACTGATCCACATCTTCAAATGGTTCCTGAATGTGATTTAATTTCTAGAAAATATATATACCAAATTGTATGTGTGTGTGTGTGTGTATGTGTGAGAGACGAGAGAGAGAGAGAGAGAGAGAGAGATATTGAATGAATGAATGTGTATGTATACCAAGAGCTTTAACTTACCGGTTTGGAAAGTGACTTCCATGTTTTAGCAACTATAATAAACAAATATATAAGAATTAGATAATAATGTCATATAGATCTAAATTCAGTAACTATCAACAACCATAACTCCTAACACCAAGCTTTATATCTAAAAGGCAATGTTTCTCAAGATTTGGATCCAAGGTATTTTATTTATGGTATGTTTTTGTTTCATGTACTATAAACTATAATAAATAATTTGAATAGGAAACACATTTTCCATAATTATTATCTAACTTTGGGGATTTCTAGATTTATAAAATAAGTTAACTTCATGTTAAATATCCTATGGTCTTAAAAACACAAATAATGGTATTAAATATTCATAGTAGAATATAAAATATTTACATAAACTATAATTTTAAGGCATTACCCATGCTCTCTAATATGTTACTATCGCTGATTATAATTAAAAGGTCAGGTCTCTCTAGGGTGAATGGGAAGGATAGGGACAAAGGTAAAAGAGATGAAGGAGAGAGCAAGTAATGTGAGGTAGGGAGTCTCATCCTGTTTTCCATTCTTCTCCGCTAAAAATATTATCCTATATAATAAAAGCCTAATATGCTAAGTGTCCAGTCGTCCGGTTGGCTGTTCAACCAATCAAACTGTAATATGCTAATGATATGCTAAGGCTGCTCAACTGCTCACTATGATGTGCACTGACCAGCAGGGGGCAGATAGTTGACTAGTTGACCAGTTGCTATGATGTGCACTGACCACCAGGGGCAGATGCTCTGACCAGTAGGTTAGCTTGCTGCTGGGGTCCGGCTGATAGGGACTGAGCGAGATGGGCCAGACATGCCCTGGAGCCCTCCACATTCCCTCCCTGGCTGGCCAACCTCCCATGTCCCTCCCCAGCCCCGAGCATGCACCAGTGGGGTCCCGCAGCCTGGCCTGTGCCCTCTCACAATCCAGGACCCCTTGGGGGATGTTGGAGAACCAGTTTCGGACCAATCCCGCAGGCCAGGCTGAGGGACCCCACTGGTGCACAAACTCGTGCACTGGGCCTCTAGTAGTTGAATAAAATACCAGTGATCACTTTCTTTTTCTGATTCCTCTTCACACTCCTGAAGATATCAAAAACTATGAATCTTATAATACTGAAATAAATGTGAGTCATATTGCTGTTTCTTTTGCTCAGATTTGAAAACTGTGAATATCTAATGACTAACTTCATGTTTATATGGGATTTAGTCCTATTAAACAGCTTAATTAGGAACTGGTAAATATTAAGTATCCTAACTACATTACAATAATGACAACCAATAATATCCCTACATGGCAATGTTGTTATTTCTATATAATTAACCATAGTTAATGTAAACAATATATCAAATTCAAGATTATAAGAAAGGCTTTTTTTTTGCTATATAACTTTCTTTTTCTTAGTCAATACATCATCTTAAGATACAAAGGAAGTATGTTCTAAAATTTAGCAATCTGATTTCTAGGCAGATAGATTTCTTCTCTATGTAGAAACAATATCCTTTCTTTACCCAAGATAGTTTATACAAACATGTAATCAAGTGATTAAAATCATAGGCCTATAAAGTTGAATTCAGCAGTTAACCTTAATTATGATACTATATACATTCACTTTTAAAGACATCCTCCTTTTCATAATAAGCAGAACAATGTAAATAATACTCTGTTGCTTTTGAAATATAGCAATAAAAAAAGAAGAAAAATAAATGGCACAAGAGTACATGCACATGCTCTGATGTAATGTTCAGAAGCTATTTATCAAAAGAGGAAGTTAGAAACACTCTTGAGTTTTGTAGAGTTTATGAGATCTCCAGGGTAAATTATTCACAAAAGACATATTCATTCTGCCGGATATGTCACCATGTCCAATATTATTAGCTTTTTCTTATAAAGACTGAAGAGCTATTAAGGTTGTTCTTCAAAGGATTTTCTGATTTTCTAAACTCCTTATTTAATATGAAGTTACTACATATATAAATATAACTTGGATGAAAAGGGACTTCAATTCTATTGGATATATTTTATTTCTTAAAGCTATAGGTTGATATTCATTGTATTATTAATATTTTTATGTATGTCTAATTTTTTAATAATACATCTTTTAAAACTAAAATTAAAATAATATTTGAAGCTATATGAGAATAAATAATTACTTATTTTAGTTATAGAAGGGACATTCACCTTTTAGGTTCCATTTAAGTAGGTAAAATAAGAAATTTTCTCAATTTCAAACACAAAGTTATAATCAACAAAAAAGGGACTATATCAAACTAAAAAGCTTCTGTAGAGCAAAAGAAAGTGACAACAAAGCAAAAGCCAACATCTGATACAACAATCAGATGTATACCTCAATTGATATTTACTTTGTACTATAATTATTGAGCAAATGTTTACACAGGATACCTTTTTTTTCCTATTGCTATCACCATAAAATTATATAGAAAAAAATGTTTAGCCTAACCAGTTTGGCTCAGTGGATAGAGCATTGGCTCAGTGGATAGAGCGTTGGCTTGCGGATTGAAAGGTCCCAGGTTCAATTCTGGTCAAGGGCATGTGCCTTGGTTGCAGGCACATCCCCAGGAGGAGGTGTGTGGGAAGCAGCTGATCAATGTTTCTCTCTCATCGATGTTTCTAGCTCTCTATCCCTCTCCCTTCCTCTCTGTAAAAAATCAGTAAAATATATTTTAAAAAAGTGTTTAAATCATGGTTACAAATTCAAGCGATAATGATAATATCTACTAACATTTATTAAGCAACTAGAGGCCCGGTGCATGAAAATTCGTGCAATGGGGGGGTATCCCTCAGCACAGCCTGCACCCTCTCACAGTCCGGGAGCCCTTAGGGGATGTCCGACTGATGGCTTAGGCCCGCTCCCCTTGGAGAGCGGGCCTAAGTCGCAGTCTGGCCTCCCTCTGTGGGAGGTGACCAGCGGGCCGATCAGGGGACGGCACCAGTCAGCGAGTGACTGATCCCGTCCCCCCCAATCAACCCTCTGCCACCGCTGGTCACTGACCCCCCCCCCATCGCCGGCCCCTCCCTCTGCCCGCTTGCACGTGCCTTGGCTGGCCTGGCGCTGCCTGCTTGCTGGCCCTGCGCCTGCTGACCGGTTGTTCCACCTTTCGGTCGATTTGCATATTACGCTTTTATTATATAGGATTATTGTGTGTCAGGTATTACACTAAGTACAACTGATATATTCAATCCTCAAAAAACCTCACAAGGCTGTTTTTATTTTTAGCTTTTTAAATGAGGAAACAAAAGACTGAATACGTTAACCAAGTTCTCAAAGCTACTAAATGAATGCCAAAGTTTAAACACCAGTCTGTCTAATTTCAATATACTTTTGCTACTTTTATATCTGTGAGGCAGATTTTGCTCACATACTTCATGAAAAACAACATATTGCAACATACTGAATACAAAAGCAAATATGAGAATCCAACTATCCTTTATTAAGTCAGATATTAAAGAAGTCTGCAAAAATGTATATATTGCCAAAAAGTTTGAGAGCCACTGCCCAGCACATGGAAAGGTTAAAAACAATCAGCCTATACTTATACTGCAGGAGCCATGACAAATATAAAAGATATAGGCAGAATTCTTGCCCAGGTCTAACTTCAAAGCCAGTCCTCTGAATTACTCTGTTTAGGCTGGATGTAAAAATTGACTAGGCAGAATATAAGTTTAAAGAATATGAAGTTATAAAGAATATCGAGAGTGAAGGTGATGTTTAAGCTTAATGTACTGAGAAAGAGGGAACAACTGAAAAATTCTGAAAAGAGAAGAGATACCAATAGGAGTTTGTAAGAACTATTAGTCTGGTAACACTGTATAGCATAATGTCTTCTGAAATACATTACTTGGTTAGTTGTTCTGAAAAACTTATACTGCTCCACACTAGAGATAAAAAAAATCTTATAAAATTATTAAGGATTTTTAAAAATATACTTACGTTTGGGCTCATCTGTTGTAACAGCCAAAATAAAATCATACGGAGTCATGAATAACTGCCCTTCACATTCTATAGAGGCAAACAAACGAAACCGCCTTTCCCGAGATGTAGCATAGAGGTCTAAGTCTTCAATGTCTGTTCTGCCAATTGCTACCTAAAGAAAGTAAAAAAATTTCAACTATGTGAAATAACATCTCCTTTTAGACTGTAAATGCTTTTAATTGTGCTAAAAGTGAATTAACAGAGTAAATGAAAATTTGAAAATATTGTCTTCTGAAGAACTGAATCATTTTATAAATTAAATAGAGGCCCAATGCATGAAAATTCGTGCAAGAGTAGGCCTTCCTTCCCTGGGCTGGCTTCCCTCCTCGGCCGCCTGCGGACCCCTGGGCCTGGGCTGGCTTCCCTTCTCGGGCTGCCCGCAGGCACCCAGGACCCGGGCTGGCTTCCCTGCAGCCCTGGCTTTGTCAGGAAGGACGTCCAGAATGATGTCTGGTTTAATTAGCATATTACCCTTTTATTATTATAGACTGTCCACATGAGTACAATGAATTAATACTTCAAAGATTCTACAATGAATGTTATTAACAGCCTGAAGATTTTAAACTGGAACTTTGAAGGACGTGTAATTTATTTCTTCAGTCTTAGTCGTAAAGAACATTAAATTTCTGAGCTAGTAGTTTCTCTAGAGCAGAGATTTTCAACCTTTTTCATCTCATGGTACACATAAACTAGTTACTAAAATCTGTGGCACACCAAAAAATATATTTTTTGCCAATCTGACAAAAAAATAGGTATAATTTTGATTCATTCACACCAGATGGCTATTGTTGAGCTGTCATCATTTTTTTCATGTGACAATCTAAGGGAAAAGAGGTCAGATATTGCATGTTTTAAAAATTCTTGCAGCACATAGATTGAAAATCACTATTCTAAAGGTAGAATGCCTACTATGCACTCTTTATATAGGCATATTTATTTAATTAGAAACTTATTCATTGTAGTTATTAATTTTTTTTTTAATTTTTTTATTGCTTAAAGTATTACAAAGGGTATTCCAGTGTCTTATGTCCATTGGTTTTGCTTATATGCATGCATACAAGTCCTTCGGTTGATCTCTTACTCCCCTCCCTTCTGCCCCCCAACCCTCTCTGGCCTTCCCACTGCAGTTTGACAATCAGTTTGAGGCAGCTCTGCCTCTGTATCTATTATTGTTCAAAAGTTTGTAATGGTCTTTATTATCCATGAATGAGTGAGATCATGTGGTATTTTTCCTTCATTGACTGGCTTATTTCACTTAGCATAATGCTCTCCAGCTCCATCCATGCCGTTGCAAATTGTAAGAGTTCCTTCTTTTTTACAGCAGCATAGTATTCCATCGTGTAGATGTACCACAGTTTTCTAATCCATTCATCTACTGATGGGCACTTAGGCTGTTTCCAAATCTTAGCTATGGTGAATTGTGCTGCTATGAACATAGGGGTGCATATATCCTTTCTGATTGGTGTTTTTGGTTTCTTGGGATATATTCCTAGAAGTGGGATCACAGGGTCAAATGGGAGTTCCATGTTTTGTTTTTTGAGGAAACTCCATACTGTCTTCCATAGTGGCTGCACCAGTCTGCATTCCCACCAGCAGTGCACAAGTGTTCCTTTTTCTCCACATCCTCTCCAGCACTTGTCGTTTGTTGATTTGTTGATGATAGCCATTCTGACAGGTGTGAGATGGTACCTCATTGTTGTTTTGATTTGCATCTCTCGGATGATTAGTGACTTTGAGCATGTTTTCATATGTCTCTTGGCTTTCTGAATGTCCTCTTTTGAAAGGTGTCTATTTAGGTCCTTTGCCCATTTTTTGATTGGATTGTTTATCTTCTTTTTGTTAAGTTGTATGAGTTCCCTATAAATTTTGGAGATTAGGCCCTTATCAGATATGACGTTGGCAAATATGTTTTCCCACGCAGTGGGTTTTCTCGTTGTTTTGTTGATGGTTTCTTTTGCTGTGCAGAAGCTTTTTATTTTGATGTAGTCCCATTTGTTCATTTTCTCTTTAGTTTCAAGTGCCCTAGGAGCTGTATCAGTGAAGAAATTGCTTCGATTAATTTTCTTTAAAAAGTGAAACCCTGATAGGGTGTTCATGGCTACCACTAAGGACACCATTTAGTGGTAACACCATCTAAAGTTGCTAACTCTAGATCACTATAGTACAGTTACTACCAACAGTCACTCTGAATTCTCTCTAGGGTTAAGATGAACAGAATTAGAAGAAGTGTGTGTAGCAGGAGAAGGAAGTCTCTTCTGTTTTCCTTAATTTGCAGTCTTTACCCTGTATATAAATAATTGTCCACTGTTATTTATTTTCTCTCTGAACTAACTATAACAAATTAATTTTTTAACAGAAGGATTATTTTCCTGATTATAAAAGTGACATAATTATTGTATATAATTTAGAAGACAGAACTTCAGAAATTTATAGATATAAATTTTTTGTTTTCTTTTTTGGCAAATAAAGGGATTATACTATACTGTTCAGCAATCTGATCTTCTTAACTTATTACTACACAAGAGGCCTGATGCATGAAATTTGTGCAAGGGGGCTTGGCCCTGGCAGCTGCGGTGGCTTGCCTCGGCCCTCACAGTCCTGGTTTTGTCTGGAAGGTCGTCTGGAAGGTCATTCGGCTGTCTGGTCTAATTACCATATTACACTTCTATTATTATAGTTCAGGGCCATTTTCCCAAGTCACTAAATAGTTCAGTAGGTCATTTTTAATAAGTATACACTACTTCATAGTAAATGTTTGTAGTAATAATCTTCCTGGAGCATAGGATTTGCATTCATAGAAAAAGATAGGTAAATTGACAATAATCTCTGAGTTCTAGAGTAAAGCACTGGAATTTAATCTGACAGAAAACAAATGGCTTTAGGGAGATTCTTAAAATAGTGCTTCAGAGAGATAAAGCAACCTGATACCAGAGGCAAGTAGCTCAGCAGTATATTAATAACAATGCTCAGGTAAGCCATAGGAATTAGGAAATTACTTTTGCTCTGCCAAGGGTGAGAAGTGAGACAATGAACAACTCAGTATCAAGAATGGGCAGTAATCTCCCTGAACACTCCTCAGGGATCAGTCTACTATCCTAAATCCCCTTTTACACTTATATCCCAGGGCAGGGAACCCAATCTTGTCTGTGACCACAAATTACATTCCTGCTTCTTCTTGCTAGGCCCTTTCCTTAGGCCTCCGTGGCCCCAGACACCTCTTCTCCAGTGAATTTCCTAGAGGACCTCTCCTTGTGAAGCTGTTTTTGCACCAGCATCTGAAGCCATGCCTCAGTCTAACATCCTGAACCACAATTTTTGTCTATATCATCTATGTTTGCTATGGCCTAATATGGGCTTGATCTGTGACTTTTTGGTGCTCACAAGTGTCTGTTTTCTCACTGAGCTGCCCTTCCCTAGGCTCAGTCTATCATGTGTCCCAGCACGCCAAACCTGCTGGACCACTGCAACTGGTAATGTGATCCCCCTTCTAATGCAGGCAACTCCTCCTCCTCCTTCACTTCTAACAATCAATTAGCAAATCCTGTTGTTCTCCCTCTAATGCAGCGGTTCTCAACCTGTGGGTCATGACCATCGGAAAACACATACAGCATATCAGATATTTACATTACGATTCATAACAGTAGCAAAATTACAGTTATGAAGTAGCAACGAAAATAATTTTATGGTTGGGGGTCACCACAACATGAGGAACTGTATTAAAGGGTCGCGGCATTAGGAAGGTTGAGAACCACTGCTAATGTTTCACAGACAGTCATGTCCACTATCTTTTCAAACACGCTCTTCTTCCCTAAAATTTTACAGTAATGGCCTGGGATGTTTGCCTCTAACCCATCCTATAGTAAGAGAAAGTAAGAGAAAATGGGCAGAACTGTAGAATAATTTTGTATTCTTTAACTACCTGAGAATGAGTATCAGAAGAAATCTACCAAGTAGAGTTAAAGGTTTTCATTAAAATTCTACTGCATGCATTCTACACACTATGGCCTCAGCAAAAGTAACCATCATGTTTGATAACAGCATTAAGTGACCACAAGTTAATTTAGCACCATTTTAATTAAATGTTTCCCAGATTAAAAGGGAAGCACATGATCCTATATAATAAAAGCCTAATATGCTAAGTGTCTGGTCATCCAGTCGTCCGGTCATCCAGTTGTCCGTTCAACCAATCAAAGTGTAATATGCTGATGATATGCTAAGGCTGCTCAACCACTCGCTATGACGTGCACTGACCACCAGGGGGCAGATGCTCCGACTGGTAGGTTAGCTTGCTGCTGGGATCCAGCAGATTGAGACTGAGCAAGATGGGCCTGGAGCCCTCCCGCAGTCCCTCCATGGCTGGGCAACCTCCCACATCTCTCCCCAGCCCCAATCGTGCACCAGTGGGGTTCCTCGGCCTGCCCTTCACCCTCTCACAATCCAGGACCCCTCGGGGGATGTCAGAGAGCTGGTTGCTTAAAAGGGCTTTTTGCTACTGCAGACTTCTTGCTTCCTCCAATGCCTATGTTCAATTTAGTGTAATATGTCACATCTATATATCTATATATATAAAAACCTAACGGACTGTTAGGACCGAACAACTGGAACGACTAGAATGACCGCAATGAGTGGTCAACTGGTCTCTATGACATGCGCTGACCACCAGAGGGGCAGACACTCAATGCAGGAGCTGTGCCCTAGTGGTTAGTGCACTCCCACAGCAGGAGGGCAGCTCAGCTGACAGACCCATCCCAGTGGCCCACCAACCCGGCAGCAGCCACTCACTCCCTCAGTAGTCCTGCATGTCCAATCTCCAAAGAATGGGCCAGGCACTGATGGACCGGTGCTGCTGGCCTCCTGGAAGTTGGCCTTGGGCACCATGACTGCTTCCCCTCCCTAGACACTCTGCAAGGAAGAAAGGATATAAAAGCGGCCACCAGGTGGCTCCCGACAACCGGCGTGAATGTCAGCGGGATGGATCCAGATCCTGGGCCTGTAAGGGCATCCCACTGCCTGCTCGGAGGGCCAATAGTGTCCTTGGGACCCCATCCATGCATGAATTCGTGCACCGGGCCTCTAGTAGTGTAATAGCACACAGTGGCACTGCTGAAATGA